GATTAACCTGGTTTCCCAAAATTTTGTGTTGGTCCAATTCTTTCAAACCTTCTCAAGCCCATGAGTTGTCATCTGACTTTACTTGAACTCTCTCATTTTCACTCAAGCTCGAAACTTCATTGCTGTCATTCCTATCGCTGGCTCCCCTTCAAGTTACTCTAGAGGTTCTGGCGATGTGACGTAGAGCTGAAGATTTTACTTTTGAGCCGACCTTCCTAAGCTCAAGCCATGAAATTTTTCTTGCTGAAGGACTTCGGTATGATCGAAGGGTCTAGTCTATTTCTTAAAAACGTTTTTCGTATCCATTGGTGATATTACGATCTGGGTTAGCCAGACAAATTGTCCTACTCAAGTATTGCTACCTTAGTTTTGCTCCCTTAGTTTTGCTCCATTTGTTTTGCTCCTTTAGTTTTGTCCCCCTAATTTTGCTCACCTAGCATAGTTTTGCTCCTTTGATCTTCTGGTCATAGTTCAGCCGCTTAGGCATCTGTTCCTGAGCATTGATACGTCTTCTTAAATCATTTTTTTTTCATACTCACTCTGGAACAACGTCAACGGTTTTTTTTTTTTCTTCTTGTCACCATCATGAAAAGGCAGATGCCTGTCGTAGAAAGCTGCCTGCTAATATACGCCTTAAACACCCGCGGAAACTGATTATATCAGTCTGTCGCATCTGCAGAACGGTATACTCTCAACATATTGTCCATTTCTCTGTTTTTAGTTGCTTGGCGCGTTCTCCTAGCATTTATGTATCTCCTTTTGGTCGCACCTTCAATTTTTCCTGCTCTATGAAGATCTCACCAGCCAGGTCATCATCCAACAATAGCCTCGACTTCGTGTAGATGATTATGCCATCTACGTTCACCATGACTTGTTGAGGACCCCAAACATCTTTGTATTGATAATGATCATGACCTTCCACGCCCCTCCTGTTGTCAAAAAAGCTCTGACTGAACTTGATGGTGTTTGAAGTATTACATATCTCAATTACAGATCTCAGACTCCTTTGTCGCCCTTTTCGACGGTTTGCAGCTGCTTCTTCTGTAAATTGTCGCTTTTTGTTGGTCAAATTAGCTCTAAACCGGAAGATCATTCTCCAGTTTTGTTACTGATTCTCGTGTTTCAGCTTGTGTTCGAACTTTCGGGTGGTTCAAAATCCGGCTCTTTTTTTTCATCGCGTCTGCCGCAACCTATTCAAAAATCGAAATCAGCCCAAGAGTCAAAAAGTCCAATCTCCCGTTTTTGGTGTTTCATTCACTAGATCTTCGTTCACTAATTTTGTCGCCAAATCTTTTTTTTTCCAGCCCTATGCTGCTTTGCATTTTCAACTTCTCTGACTGCAAATTTCAGTATCATTCACAACTGCCAGTGACAATTTATGTTTAAGTTGATTTTGATTTTCTACTGCTTCCGAAAATAGTGGGAATTTTATCTCAAGTAGACGTTCTTGACTGAAGAAGAAGCATCATGGCCTAACTTTGTCTAACAACCTACCATAGTAATCAAACTCGTTCATCTGGTCCAGGTCAACTTCATCGGAGGTGTAGATTATGCTCTTAGTGTCTCGCTTGTATCAGCTGCAATCAACCACATGATAGTCTGCCGACCCGCAGTTGGCATAAGAGCAGTGTTATGGGGTTCAAACCACGTCGACTTCGAAGCCTGTACCCCTATGGAAAAATCCGATCAATTGAGAATGAGTTTTTTTTCAAATCAGTTGCATTTAATTTCTAGTACTCTGCCTTGTTTCTTTCCAAGTGGGGGCACTGACTATTAAAAGGGTGCATTAAGTTGCCAACATTGTTTTTGGGTCATCAATTTGCATTCTGTCAGGGAATTTTGATGCCGTGTTGAAGTTTTCAATATTTCTTAAAACTTTCATTGTCAGCGCTTCACCGCAAATTTTTCATATCATCAAGGAACTGATCGGTCGATTCAATTTTTATCTTTTTTCCAGTTTTTCAAACCCTGTCTTGGCTTGACGTCTTTTCAGATCAGAGCCAAATTGATACAATTAGCGTTCAAAGATTTTTCTGGCTGTATGCCGTTCGTTCTTTTGTTTGCCTGCCACGGACTTCATTGCAATACCCTCAAGAATGCCTTACAATCTTTGCTCTCACCTATGTTTCTTGTTCTAGGTGCAATTTCTTGACATCCATCTATGTAACTATGCATCCGATGGAGTCATTTTTAAGTTTTTTGGGCTTTCTGAAGACTCTTTCTTACTTTAGCCATTGCGTCTCTCATTGTTCCAGACTATTGTAACATATGACAGAAGCGTTTTATTCATCCTTTCCCAAGTATTAGCCCACGTTGCTGCGTAAGTTCTCCATGTTGAGTGACCCGTTGTGCCGCGTAAGTCTCAGCTATCTGGAGTCGAAGCAAGGTTGTCTAGTCTTATTAGGTGCGGCTGGCTACGTTCCGGTTCCATGAATTCTGCTCTCAAGTTCAATGGCTTTTTTCTTAGTTTTTTTTCTAGGTTTGATCAATTTCTTACAGAATGAACCCAATTTTAATTGAATGGCGCAAGAGCTTTTGATTTGTTCTCTGCTCAATCTCTTCATTTTTGTCTCAAGTTTTCATAGTTGCCTATACAATTTCTGGTGGCGTATATTTCTCCTGATTTTTTTTCTTTCTCTCTCCTTGTCAATCTCCAATACTTTGTCTACCAACTGCTATATATACTTCTCCTTTCATCTTGCCACCACATAAAAAATGCCTATATCTTCGATCTTATTGCGCTTTTTCTTTTTTCCTCAACTGTTCTCTGCTCGTTTGGCTGCATCAAACATCTAGACGAAATATGATTTCTCCAATAGATCTAGTTCCTCAGTCTGCAAATGATATAACCAGGATGTTTTTGTCAAATTTCCGGCCTGTTTTGGACTGCTTTTTAGTGGTAGCTTTATTTGGCACTGTTGAGTGCGTTCTAATTGTTGACGTGCCAAAGTTTTTCCCATTTGATGTTCTGGTCGTTACCACGTCTTTTTAATCAGTCCTTTATCCCACTAAAAATGTAATTCCTTCCCTAAGTTTATCTGTGAATGACATTTTCTTTGGTTTTGGGTAGTCTCTTTATGTTTGTTCTGTACGTTATATGTCTCATCATCATTGCCAATCTTCGAGAAAACCTATGTTTTTGAATCCTGGTCAGTCGTGTTTGGCATTGGTATTTATTCTTTTACCTTTGTATCAACCTCGTTTAGTCTTTGGTCTGGTGTATCTACATTGGCTTTTCGTCATGTGATTGGTCCATCTTCTTTGTTCTTTAGATCGTCTCTTGTTGTTAGCCGCTGTTGGTTTTCGATTAATTCCTAAGTTTTTCTTATTTTTACCAAACCCAGTGAGATGTATTTTTTATTTTCTAGCTTTTGAATTTTTGGTGATGGTTTCTATGGGCGGATTGGCTCTGAATTACTTCATTTCTTTCATTTACTGACATTATAGTCCTCCTCATACTTGGCTGATGAGTTATTTAATTGTCATTTTCGGAGGATCAATAGTGGTTTGGTTTTTGAATTTGCTATTTTTCTTCATATTTGAGATTGATTTTTGATTTCCAATCAGTTTATTGGGAAAATTTTGAAAACGTTTATGTAAAATTATATAAACAATATTTTAAATGTCAAGTTCGTATGGTTGTGCGCCACATATTTATATGGTTTTAAGTGTTATTTAATCACATGCTATATTTGCTAATAAGGTGTTAGGAGTTTTTACTATTTGCATGAACTTTATTCCACGTGTCAGAAGCTCTACTCCGCTTTCTCTGCTTACCTTCAAAACAAAAACCAGGAAACTTAAACCAACCGTTGGGCAGGTAGAGTGACCCCCAAACACTCCCAGAAAAATTGTTGTAGAGTTGATTGGACCTCCCAAGATTCGAGGAGAAACCTCTGGGCCGTTGATTGAACATTCCAAAACTCTAGCTGAAACATTTATGAAAAAAAAATTGAATTTTCCATGATTCTAGAAAAAGTTACACAATTAATTGTTTATTTTAAAGCTAGAAAATGCATGGACGGTTTTCCAATTAACTTTAACGTCGAGACTAAACTTCTCTGGAGGATTGCGTAAAAATCATAAATTTCTTTACAAAAAGTCTGACATGGATTCTTAATGTTCATATATATATATTTTGAAAACGTTTATGAAAACGTTTGTTTAATTAAAAAAGGGCTGCGTCTATTTATACTAAACTTTATAGCAGCGAGTTTTTCTCAGATTAGTCAAATTGTTGAAAAAAAATCGCTTTTTGTCAGGTGCTTATAGAAAACGGCCTATTTAGCGCCACCACTTCGAGTAGCTCATCACCTATAGGACCCTCTTTTGGTACTATTTTAGAAAACCCGAAACTGTTTTCAAGAATCTGACTCTAAAACTTTTTTGTTGTGTTTTTAGAGAGCTCGGATGGCATTTGGTCAAACTAAAAAAGGTCGACATTATTTTCGATTGTTCTTTTGAAATCGCCCCTTTCCTCAGAAAAATCCTACATCCCCCACACCTAAAAATCCATCCATTTTTCGTCTGTTTTTAATTGATACATAATGCATAATTGATGCTCGGAATAATTTTTGAGATATTGTTTTTGATCTACTAATCAACATGTAACATGAGAGGAGTTCACACTAACATGCCTAGACTTTTCGTCAAATTGCTGGTGTTTTGATATCAACCTGAAAATCGTTGCAAATTTACTTTAAAGTCTGGAATAATTGTGCAATTCCTAAGCATTTCATGCCAATCTAGCATAAACCAAACGCTCTAGCCTGCACGTATAAAGTTTACATTCTTATCTTTTTGCGGGCCCAATACGATAGGTAGAGCCATTAACGATAGGCACACTTTCCCGGAAAGTTAGGAAAGTTTTATGGAAAATCCTTATCACTACCCTCGAGCTATCAGACCTTGCTGAAAAACAAAATGATTTATCCCGGAACCCAAATTGAATTTCCTGTGTTCCGAAATATCTTTTATGTTATAGCTTCCTAATAATACCGGCCAAATGTCTAGTTTAAAACGTCGCAGTGCCAGGTTTGCAAAATTCAATTCCATGATCAAAATACAGGGAAACCTTTTGGTTCAACAGAGCTTTAATCAAAATGACTAGAAAGAACATATACAATTGATTGTTACAAGAACCCATTTCCCTTTCTATAGGTTCCAAAACAATAATACCCATCGAGTTAACATATTGTGGCAGACTTTCAGAGGATAAAAACGGAGATTCAGTTTAAGATTTATTGACCCTGGTTCGCGCTTAGTTTTGTTTCTTTGCAGCCGCAGACATTTGGGCGATTCTCTGAAAATACCTGCTGTTGAGTTGAAAATCTACTTAAATTGCATTACATTTGAACAAAATGGCGTTCAAGGGACCCACTTATGGCATGAGTGCTGAGGTCAAAACCAAGGTCAGTTACATTGTTTTGTGGATGGCTTCATAATGGTTAATAATTTTTGGCGAATTGTCCCCCTCCAATATTGTGGGTGAAACTTTGTTTTTTGATTTGCGTTCTAGGCCTGTATTCGATGAAAAAAATCTCAATGTTGTCCGCTCAAGATTGATATAACTGTGACATTTCAATTCTTAAAAATGGGAGGGTTTTATTCTAAAGCGGACAACAGAACGCAATAAAGAGTTAAGAAACAGTTGTTTAATTGAAGTTTTTATGAGTTTGATGTTCCGACTTTTATGAAACATGACGCATTATTTGCGCTTGATAAGGTTTTTTCTCCACAGATATCTTGAAGCTTCACTTGCAATATTTGAGTGAGTTATTTAAAAATCATCTGGAAGATACCAATGCCTCGAGACTCTTATAACATCCCCCCTGTCACCACCGCCCCGTCATCAGTCATAGAATTTCAAATGCAGATACGGGATCTACTTAATCATGAAAGGGGGAGAATGTTAAGTAGATCACGGGGGGTCGATTTTTTGACCAATCAGAATGCACAAAATTCGAATTCTCAGCACAAGCTCTTGTGCTTATTTACTGATTTCTTTATAGGGGTGGCGATTCTTTAGTAGATACCATAGGGGGTGGGGATAGTTAAGTAGATCCCAGGTACTTCTTATGCGATAACCAGCAGTGCGCTTTCAAAATAATGTATGAAACTCAAATTTGTTTGATATGGGCAACTCAACGATTAATAACCGTAATATTAACCGTAAGAATAATAAACCGTAAGAATAATAACCGTAATATTATAATAAATCGTTCGAATACTGAAACCCAGCCACGGAGAAAAAAAACAACACTAAATTAACAGAAAAAAGTTTGTGTGGGCTCAGTAACCGGCCACCCTGGTTTATAATGAGCAATTTACTTTTTACTTTTTCGCTACTGTTGATATTTTGCATGTTTAATTATTATACATACCAAAAAAGTTGTTACTGCTGTTTTTCAGTGTAGTTTTACGACTTGTTTGAAACAACATTTAATTTGTTCTTTTTTGTAAGATTTCATTTCAGCTGAAGAATTTGTAGTGTTTTTCCTTACTGTACGCGTCAAATCTCCACGAATTCTAAAAAAATCGGATTTCAAACAATTAATTCGAGCATTTTATCGGCAAAATAACTCGGTAACAATGATATTTCCTAACAAACTTTATCATCGGTCACATCGGTAACATCGGCCATAAACCTCTGCATAACTCAAAGCAAGCTGCTAAAAATGGCCAGTATTGGTCCTTGAGACGAATTGCTCTTTTTAAAGGTCAGCCTTAATCAAGGCTGAACCAAATTAGAGCGAAAAGACGGTTAAAATAGGTTTTGGGGGGGGGGGGGGTTCGAACCTGGTTACGGAGCCTCCCATCAAAATCGGGGCATATTTGAGTTTTAGAAAGGAAATAACCTAGTCAGGATTCGAACCCGCACCGAACCCACCGGGACGCACCCTGTATACGCTTGGCTACTGTCCCTATATGCTTTTACATTTTGGTTCAATTTTATATGCATTTATACTCTCGCTTACATTTGCGTTTATATGCTTTTGTACTCTCGCTTACATTTGCGCTGCAACATCCTCCACCCCTAAACAAGGAAGAACGGGAGCGAGCTTTACGGTCGGGCGGGTCAGTTCGCTCGTAACGGTCTTTATGTCGGCAGATCTCGCGCATCCGTCCTTGCCATAGTGCAGTTTTAGGATACGTGCGAGTCGATAATGTCCACGTGGAGTGTCAGGCTCTATGACCCAAGCCAAGTCGCCGGTTTTCAACTTAACGCCTGACTGGTTGTGCCACTTTGCCCTCCTTTTGAGGGAAGGAACGTGTTCCCGCATCCACCGTGTCCATGTTGCGTTAACGTATGATTGCGCTCTGGCGAACCGCTTCTTGTGGTCGAAGTTTTCTTCAAAACTTAGCGACGGAAAATTCGCTCCGTGTTGAACAAGGATAAAATGATTCTTGGTCAACGCCTCTAGATCTAGCGGATTGGAACTAATGGCTGTTAGTGGTCTAGCATTAAGTGATTGCTCAACAAGGCACAGCGTGTTTCTTAGAACCTCCTCAGTTACTCTTCTGTTGCCTAGGATGTCATACAAAACACGCTTGACACTCCGAATTAATCGCTCCCAGGAGCCACCATGGTGCGGTGCGCTGGGTGAATTGAATTTCCACTTGATCCCTTTCTGAACAAAAACAGCGGGTGCCAGCTTGTCCCAACTCTCAACGCAAGCTAAGAGCTCTTTCTGAGCGCCAACAAAGTTCGTGCCGTTGTCGCGCATGATGGTAGTCGGAATACCGCGACGTGCAATAAACCTCTCCACGCCCATCACACAAGAGCCTGTGTCGAGCGAGGGGACCACTTCAATGTGCACCGCTCTAGTGGTGAGACAGGTGAACAAAAAACCCCACCTCTTTTCCCTACTTCTCCGGATTGGAACTAGGAACGACCCAAAGTAGTCGACACCTGTGTTAGAGAAAGGAGGTTGCTTGTAACCAAACCTTTCAATGGGCAGATCAGCCATCATATGAGTTACGGTTTGCGCTTTGCGTTTTCGGCACACAGAGCAAGTATTTTCAATGTTTCGCAGCAACCATCGCAAATTTAACACAACGTATTTCAAAGTAACCACCGCAGGCATGTAATCCAAGCCTTGATGGAAATTCCTAATGTGCAAGTGTCTAACCAATAAACGGACAACTGCGGGCATCAAGTATAATTGGAGGCTTGCTATCGAAATCGGAATTAACCAGGCGGCTGATGCGCCCAGTCGAGCGAAGGATGCCAGCTGGTCCAATGAACGGCAAATACTTGGCAATCCGACTGTTCCTCGTGATAACTTTACCGGATTTTAGTAGTTTTAGCTCACTAGGAAATGTCTCAACATGGGACAGGTACATGGGCTTCTGTCCAGCAATATCCATTTCACACGGGTCTGTAATTTCTAATATACTCGACCGGAAATGTTTATGGGATGGCAGCCATCTTAACAAAATACTACTGTGCGTTTGTATTTTACAATTGAACTGAATCTCTCTCATTTTCTGAAGGGAAAATGTTTTTCTGTCAAAACATCGACAAGGAAATTTGACGAAATTTCCAGACAAATGTCGATATCACATGATGGTCCTTTGAGTCTTATTTTATCAATAACCCTTGTATCGGGCTTGAACGGCCAATCAGTCGTTCTCAGTATACTAGGGGCATTAACCCAGCTGCTTTCCTTGAGGGTCTCCGAATAAATCCCTCGTGTACCGGTATCAGCTGGGTTATCAAGGCTAAGTATGTGATGCCACTGATCAGTGGTGGTAGACTCCAGAATTTCACCAGTGCGATTACTAACAAAAACGGTAGTTTATTACAAAAGTTAAGCCACTGAAGAACAGTGATACTATCTGTCCGAATGAAAATATCCATAACTTTGAAAGTAAGACCTTTCAAAATTTGTTCTTTTAAGCGGGTTGCAAGAAGAGCCGCTTGAAGCTCTAACTTTGGAATAGTGGAATAGATAGCGCTTTCATAGGCGCAACGCGGGCTTTGCCAAAAACAAAGGCTAAATCGGTCTGATGCGAGCTAGCAAGTCGCGCACGAAGGAAAGCGACGGCACAGAAAACATCCTGCAAACTATCACCGAACATGTGAAGTTCTATTCGGTCGAAAGGGTCAGTGAAATAGCTGCGAGGTAAAAGGTCAGTAAATAGCTGCGAGAACCTAACAAATGAAGACCTGAGTGAGTGTCATTCAAGGAACTGCTTTTTGATTTCCTCTGGCAGATCATCGTCCCGTTTTTGACCGCTGATTCGCCAGATATCTTTTAATAGAAGGCAATTTGTAATAGTTATTTTGAGCCACTAACCCAATTGACGATCAACCCCTCTACTAACGACTAAGGTATCTTTTACGTGATCCCACTTACGACCAAGAACATGCGACGACTTGTCTGAACTCGCACAAATATCCTTAACAGGGGAATTAGACTCATGGTTATCCGGATCAAGAGCAGTTGTTACGTCGGGCACGTTGCTGACAAATTTTGTCAGATGAAACCCATCTAGTTTAAGCAACGAGATTAAATCCCTACCTAACTTCAAGGCGTCATCCCTGTTTTGAAAAGAATCCATATAATCATCCATATAAAATTTCTGGACAACAGCCAAAGCAGCTTCGGGGTACTCAGCTTGATTATCCGATGCGGTCTTCTGCAAAGCAAAATTCGCACAAGTCGGCGATTCACGAGCACTAAAAATGTGACGCGTATATTGGCTAACTACCACACTTGATGTGGGGTCCTCCCGCCACAAAAAACGAAGAGAAGGTTGATCTTTTTCACGGACTCTAACCTATTAAAACATCCCTTCAATGTCAGATGAAACGGGGTATTTATGCTGACGGAATATTAAAAGTAAAAAAAATGAGATTTTAAGGAGATCCGGGCCAACCAACAGAGATTTGTTCAAGGAAGAGCCATGACACTTCGATGCCCCATTGAGGACTCGGCACACCTTAACGGTTTTATTCGGGTTCAACACCGGGTGATGCGGGAGATACCACTCACGATCGGCTCGTGATTTGAAATCGTGTGCCTTAACGGTTATGACATATCTTTTTTGTATATTTTCTCTAATTGTTCCGGCGTATTTTTCACGGAGCGACGGATCCTTATCTAGCCTTTTTTCCAAAGACTTTAATTGAGCTAAGGAGGAAAAATAGTTATTCGGTAAAGTACTTTCTTTATCGTTCCAAAGCATTGGTACAATGTACCCCTCACCATCGTGAAAGGTGTCATTTTTCAAAACGGACAAAGCGCGTTTGTCGGCGGCGGAACGGGCATCTACCTGCTTGAAGGCTCCATATGACTCCAACTCATACCAAGCTTTAATTTGGTCCGCAAGAGACATGTCTTCGACAACACAAATAAAGCAAGACGAGTTCGACTTAAAAGACGGCGGTAACGGACCACTTAAA